CCAGACTCAATCTACTGACAGTTATAATATTAAGACAGCCACTAAGGAACTTCTCCAGACTAAATCTCCTGACAGTTATAATATGAAGACAGTCATTAAGAAACTTCTCCAGACTCAATCTCCTGACAGTTATAATATTCCGACAGCCACTAAAGAACTTCTCCCAGGCCTTGCAAAGCTTGTCTATTCGGGGAATCGAACCCCGGTCGCCTTGGTCCAGACTCAATCTACTGACAGTTATAATATTTAGAAAGTCACTAAGGAACTTCTCCAGACTCAATCTCCTGAGAGTTATAATATTTAGACAGCCACTAAGGAACTTCTCCAGACTCAATCTCCTGACAGTTATAATACTAAGACAGCCTTTAAGGAACTTCTCCAGACTCAATCTCCTGACTGTTATAATATTCAGACAGCCACTAAGGAACTTCTCCAGACTCAATCTCCTGACAGTTACAATATTCAGACAGCCACTAAGGAACTTCTCCAGCCTCAATCTCCTGACAGTTATAATATTAAGACAGCCACTAAGGAACTTCTCCAAACTCAATATCCTGACAGTTATAATATTAAGACAGCCACTAAGGAACTTCTCCAGACTCAATCTCCTGACAGTTATTATATTCAGACAGCCACTAAAGAACTTCTCCAGTCTCAACCTCCTGACAGTTATAATATTCAGACAGCCACTAGTTATAAGGAACTGGTGGAGACTTAAACTCTTGGGTGTTATGATATTAAACAGCTTATACACAATTTTTCCAGACTACAACTTATTTAGGTAAAAAGAAACGTTGGTGTGGCATCAAGTTAAAAGAGTGAATTAGGCTGTAACATGACCCTCCAGCACACCTGTGTGTATATGTTGATACCCCGTATTAAATACCCATCTGTGTCAATCTTAATGAAAAGCAAGTCATCTATAAATCATTGTCAACAGCTAAATAATGCTGTACACTCTAACTATGGAATCTTATCTTATAGTTTCTTGTCGTAAAATTGTTTTAAAGATTTTTTTTTTACGAATTTCAAATTTTTAAAAAACCTTTCTGCGATATCATCATACCGCATCACACCCACTGCATTCCCCTGAAATTTACTTACTACCTGCTTCTATTCACATGACATTCTGTTTGTTATATGATCTAACCTCCTGTTAATATAGTGAATATCACTTCACAGATACGGTTGCTGTCATTGAAATCACACCCATTTTTACTGTACAATGAACGTGACATACCAGTGGAAAAGGAAGAAGAAATATTTGGATGTCATTTCAAGGGCAAATCATCCCATGAATATGACATTTTTAGTTACAGACGTCACGTTTTCAAGTCAAAGGCAGTCATCCGTTAATCTAGTCAATTTTTTAACAACCAAACACTGTACATGAATATAAAGTTACACAATTTCAACACTTTTGTCATTTGACCCTGTCATCACTGGAGACCATAATGGACTCATCTAGATCAATGCATGGTAGAGTCTACTAAAGTTACATAGGGGTAAAAGGGTTAAATATATGATAATTTGATAATTTGTAAATCCTTACGATCATGAATCATCATCAATAATAATTAAACATAAAAATTCTACAATAATAAATCAAACATCAATAAAAAAAACTTTATGTACCCGAAACTCCTTTACTGGGCCTCACCCTTTACTGGGCTCCACCCTTTACTGCATGGGCTCCACCCTTTACTGGGCCCCACCATTTACTGGGCCTCACCCTTTACTTGGCTCCACCCTTTACTGCATGGGCTCCACCCTTTACTTGGCCCCACGTTTTACAGTAAATGGTGGGGCCCAGTAAAGGAAGGGGTCCAGTAAAAGGTGGGGTCCAGTAATTGGTGGGGCCCAGTAAAAGGTGGGGCCCAGTAGAGGGTGGGGCCCAGTAGAGGGTGGGGCTCAGTAAAGGGTGGAGTCCATGCAGTAAAGGGTAGAGCCCAGTTAAGGGTGAGGCCCAGTAAAGGGTGGTACCCAGTAAAGGGTGGAGCCCAGTAAAGGGTGATACCCAGTCAAGGTTGGAGCCCAGTAAAGGTGAGGTCCAGTAAATGGGCCCACCGCGGCCTCCTGAACTGTATCTTAAAAAAATTCGGTTAATCTGAGGCCAAAGTATACATCTCCAATCAAATGAATATTATGAATTATTATCACTTCAATGACTCCATAATGATGCTGTGTTGTTAACACCTGCTTATGTAAAGATTACAGAACGAGTGATCAAGATCATTTATTTAAAAAACTTGGTAACAGGGAAGGGGCAACAAAAGTGCCGCCAGTTGGGGTAACTAAAAGGGACGGAATACCCAGGTATGCAATCAGAGGTCTCGATCTGCCTCCTGAGAACCACAGAGAGGCGTCGCAGATAGATCAAGGTCAAGGTCACTGTCCTTTTACCTGTGAGAGAGGTGAAACTGGCAATCTCTGATGGAAGTAGTATCACCATAACACTCACTTTAAATGAAACGCCAGTACAGGCTGTTGTAGATACGGCTGCCACTCTGACATTGGTTAAACAGGAATTGGTGGATTAACTTTAGGGGCCACTGAAGCTGGGGAACTGAATGCAGCTCCAGGGTTTAACGGCAATGAAGAAATAGTATAGGAGATAAAAGACCTACTGATTGGTGTAGGAAACACGGAAGTAACTTGGACCGTATGTGGGGCCCCCATCATGGATGACTGTCATTGACCTAGATGCTGGTATCCTTATTATTGGGAATCAGGTTATACATATTACACCGCCAATGAAAGAGCAGAGAACATCATCCGCAGTCAAAATAGTACAAAACACCACCATAAAGGTTATATTTGTAACGGTCCTGTACCTTGGAAAAGGGCACGGTAAAGTTAAGCCTTCCAACAGACTCAGATCTACTAAGTATGGGCCTGAAAAACACCACCATAAAGGTTATATTTGTAACGGTCCTGTACCTTGGAAGAGGGCACGGTAAAGTTAAGCCTTCCAACAGACTCAGATCTACCAAGTATGGGCCTGAAAAACACCACCATAAAGGTTATATTTGTAACGGTCCTGTACCTTGGAAGAGGGCACAGTAAAGTTAAGCCTTCCAACAGACTCGGATCTACTAAGTATGGGCCTGAACTTCTACTAGAAGGCTCAGTGAAAATGTGGTCCTTCTAGGGACCCCTTATGGTCAAGGGGTGACCGGACCTTGCCCAACTCCCACCACCAGAGAACAATCATCTCCAGCATCATGAACAACACCAGAGGATCTGTTACTCCAAAAATGACCATCTCATCAATGTTTCCCAAACAGCAGCTTCCAACTTCAAGAGGGGGTTTCATAAAACGGGGAAGAGTGTAGTGATTTTTGGGCAAGTTATCTCCCTTAGACTGCTGACCACACCGATAACATTGATGATGTGACATCTCTGCACGATCTCTTTACATGCATCCTGTCTTGAACTTGATAGCATGTGAGTGATTTTCCTCCACCTTCTAACTGTTTTTGGGACCTGAGAGCATGCAGTCCCCTACTCCAACGAAGAGACAGTGTATTACAACACACATCACATTTCTATATATAATATCAACATTTTACGAACGTGAGTTTCTTCCCTTTGAAAAGTAAGATATGTATGTTGAAGCAATACCATGATGGGTGACTGTTACACAGCAATTTCAGATTTGTAACCACATCTATATTTACCTCTACCTGAACACTCCCATTAACCTTTTTAAATGAGAGATCGGGTGGTGCAGTGGATAGCACACTTGCCTTTCACCAAGGCAGCTGGGGTTTGATTACCCGATCGGACATGAAAAGTTTTAAGGGTCACCTGCCCGACGTCGAGGGTTTTCTCCAGGTTCTCTGGTTTCCTCCCACACTAAGACCCCCCGCAAGTTAGTTTCCGGGCCAACAAGAGTGATTAATATAAGTTGAAATAACTTGTTTCATAATTGTTGTAAAATCAAAAAAAAAGTTTATTTAACATTTTAAAGAAGTAGACTATATGTGTCTTATTTAAATTTTAACAATAAGTCTGTCTTGTAATCATTTCATGCAATAAAGGTAACTTAAAATAAGTCTTTGTCTAGAAAAATATCTAGTATGCTTCTGTTATCTGAGACTAATAGATTATGGTTATTTTTTCTGTATCAAAGCGGATCCCACATTTTAGTGTGTAACGAACGACAACTCTTGGTAGTGTGTATTCCGCATAAATTTACCTGTCCCCTCATGGGGAGTCATATGAGCACACAAACTAATTCTTTCAAATTTAAATATATAACTTTTTTATAGAGGAAAAGTATCGTTAAAAAAAATCTTAAAAAAAGATAGATGATACAACAGTACGAGTCCGGAACGACACTTATCGCATCGATCGGGTGCTAGGAATTTCCGATAGGTAAAGTAAGGCGTAAATACAGATAACAGAGTCTCCAAGATTTAGGGAGACAGGACAGAAACAGAAATTAAAATGACTTACCGAACAGATAGCTGGTCATACATCCATGGACATTCTTATAACTTTACGTCACTTCATTTAGAACTGTCCCGCTTTCAGTTCCCATACAGTGACCTAAATATAATATGTACGCATGTGTAACTGTGACACTGCTCCAGAGTAGACTTGCCAAGTCCCAATCTGGGCCTGTATTCATGAAAATGTGCTCAGACCAACTTTCTTGTATCTCACTTAAGTCCCTAAATCATGTCAAACGATCAAAAAGTCAAATGTAAACATTGAAAACGGTATTTGGCTTTCAGTCTCTTCAAATTTGTACAATCATTGACAAAATAAGATTTTATTATTAATTTCTCAACGGAACAAGAAATTAGGCTTGAGCACAAATTCCATGCTTGAGCATGAGAACGGTTTCATGAATACGGGCCCTGATTAAATCATATCCTACATTCACAACCGTATCACGAGAGTCGCAATTTCTTCTCCTCTGTCAAGCCACGGATCTAATTCCGTGATGAAGCACTTCATTACTAGGAACATTTTTGTATTTTGTTCTTAACAAGAGCGCGTGTGTACAAAGTTGAAATTGTCCTGTTGAACAGTTAACCATATGGAAATTAATTTTAAAAAAATACGAACCATANATAAAAACCCATGAAACAGAATCAAACGCTTTTTCAAAGTCTATCATAAGTAGCATACCTGGGATGTTTAGTTCTTCTGCATAATGCATTATATCATATACTGTACGAATATTTTCCCCAATATAGCACCATGCCATCGGAGGAATAACAACTAACCCTATCAGACATCACTCTCTTTTTTCCACCACCGCCGGGGCTCGAACCGAAATTCTTGGGAGAGCGAGTGGTCTGAAGCTCACGCTTGATAGCACACAGTAGTACAATGACTGTGCGCGTTAGCGATCACGGCTACCGAAAATTTGTCATCGAATTCAAAATTGACCCAAGGCCAATTTTTAATAATAAGGTAAAGTTTTAAAAAGTAGGTCACGGGGAACTAATCGGTTAAAATAGCTTTTCTAAGTTCACTTCTAACCCCAGTTATTTGTACAGTGTAGGTCAAATTTTGATAAGTAGATCACAGTGACCTAATTATGTAAAAAAAAACATGTGTTCCACGGCTTCCGGTTCCATTTTCAACATTGAAAACTGATTGATTGATTGATTGGTTTTACGTCCACTTCACTACCGAGTAGTTCGGTTATTCAGCAGAAGAAGAAAAGACGGAAAAATGAGTAGAAGGGATAAAGTATGGAGTGAAGGAATAGAAAAGGGAGACACGTAGGGGAGGGAAGGAGTCGTCCATCCTATATGTACAAATCTAATTATTGTAAGACGGCTCCTCAGAAACTGACGCTGGATCCATTTTTAAGGGGGTCAACTTTCATGTTTTTCATTTATTAAGTCCTCTAGTTTGATAACATTTGATCAGCATGTGTCGTTGAGATTGAAATGATCTTTTGGATTTTGTATTAATCTGCCGTTATTTGGTTTGGAACGCCTGTACGCTAGTGTTGTCAGCGCTATCGGTGGCTAGAGTCGGGTGTCTGATCGTCCATTCCAGATAGAATAGGCTACTTGCCTGGAATCCTATGCTGCCACGGGCGTAACTAGCCCTTGTTCGGAGTGGAGTCATTAAGGAGCAGGTCCAGGGCAGGGCCTTGGTAAAGGGATGCAAGGCAGACAGATAGACAGACATTCTTTAATTATTTCCTCGAAGGTCAAGATTATTACAGAATAAAATGCAATCAAAATGTATACCCACACTATTTCTTGCATTTCATAAATTGTTTTGCCATTATTCATATGGCGTTAAAAAGGTCGTTCATTTCGTTGAATATTGTTTTCAACGTTTGTGAAATGTTTATCATCAAAAGTTCCCAGATATCATTAAGACGTATTCATCACCTAGAAGAAAACTACACTGTTCATTATCATCTAAGTCTAAAGTGTTCACTACTTGGTTGAATAATAGGTCTCTACTTTTGTACGGATAAGGACATATTATCAGGAAAAGCAGAATTACATCGTCCGATTCTTTTCCACACAAACGACATATTAACTTTTCTGTCACATAAAGAAACGACCTTTTCAGCATTTCAGTTATTTCCCAAGCAACTGTAACACCGGATTTACTCCTTGGCAAGAACGAATCTGAGCGTATCTGTGCAGCCCTGGCCTACTGTCCAAATCCTCGCGCCATTGTCGATCGTAAAATGCATTTAGAAAACATTTCAAAAAACGACTCCAGCATGCTTTAGGAGGTACGAATTCGTTAAAGATGAAATCATTTACGAAAGAAGTGATACCGAACTTTTCAAAAATACACATAATGTAAGGAATGAATCCTATTCAAACTTTACTGCGAGGTTCGTATATAACATCGGAAAGACGTACTAGGAATATTGCCTTTCATATAAATGAGATGCTATATATATACACCGTTGCACAGCTTGTTCCAAAACATAAATTTTTGTGTTTCCACTGCATTCATCATTCACGATGCACGTTTAGGGGACCTTAGGTGTAGAATTTGGATACTAACCTCGGTAAGCTTTGGTTCTTACACAAATCCTACGCCTTTGGGTAGAATTTTCATATCTCCTATATTTCTACATACGATATACTCCATCACTCTTCTTCATTGATTCGAAGCGAAGTAGATGATTCACTGGGGCTAAGCTACTTTCTATGTACACAGCTTTGTGTTGGTCCATCTGGCATGTAACACACATTTGTCTGGGTGAAGATTGTGTTTCCTAGAAGGAGGCACGGTAGTCTCGTGGTAGGACACCCGGATCGTGACCGTAGAGTTGCGGGTTCCGAGTCACGGCACGGCACTGTGTTGCATCTTTGAGCAAGATACTTTACTCCGCTTGTTCTAGTCTACTCAGCTGTAGATAAGTATGTGATTGGGCAGTGCTAGAATTGTTCAATGCTAGCTGTGAGCGCCAAAATGGCAGAACCGGCTATATGCTCCCCAGGGAGTTGAGAAAGATATTGTCTGGTTGCAAAGGCCCTATAACCACGGATACTAAATTTGTGAACCGCTTTGAGACGACCTACGAACTAGGTTGTGATAAAGCGGTATATAAGGACCTTGAATTGTTATTATTATTTAAGGACAAAACAGCTGTATGATGCTACAGTGCAATTCCTACTGTATTTATTACCAAATGTTTAAGATGCAGTCACCTGTGTGTGTTACCTTCATCTTTGGTTGCTGAAGGGTTGATATGTTTTTCAGCTTTGTTATATTCCATCTTTGCATATTGCAGAGTTATCTTCTCTTGTGGGCAGGTATTGATTGTTACTCATTGGTTTGTGTGAGAAAATTACGTCTTTTACTCAAAAATTGATGACGTTACTCTCACAAACCAATGACGTAACAATCAATACCTGCTCACAAGAGCAGATAACTCTGCAATACGCAAAGATGGAATAAGAACAGAGACGGGCCATCAGCGTAGGTTTCATAATGAATTGTGATATTTCCATTTATATCGCTCGAATGAAAACTTAAAGATCGAGAAATGGGGAACGTTAGTGTTTTCTTGAAAGTACTTTTCAATGTTTCACCATTTGATGTAAATGTATGCTAGTTGTTTGCCATTCCACTTGACTATCGAAGTTATTTATCAATTTACACTGTCAAAATATTTTTAGATTGTTCAGTTGAGAAGTTTTGAAGTGGTGATTCACCAAAAAAAAGCTTTTCAGGAGTAAAAACAAACCTCTGTTTGACATTCAACTTGACTATCAAAGTCATATTACAAAACATAATTTTTAAGTGGAGCCAGTACCTGTTATACATTACATCTCCAGCACACATGCAGGCATACGCACATATGGAGATATTAGCCAGGTGGCATATGACCAGTAGTTAGCGCCTGATAGGGCAGCTCCTGCGAAGTCCTCAAAAATTGTATTGGTTTATGTATAGGCTTATTGTATTAATTGTATATCTATGTACTGTAAAGCACTTTAGAGTGGCTTATGTTAGCTAAATAGGGCACTATATCAAATGTTGTATACTTTTTTATTTATTTATTTATACTGTCAAAATATTTCTAGATTGTTCAATTGAGAAGTTTTGAAGTGGTGATTTACCAAAAATAAAGCTTTTCAGGAGTAAAAACAAACCTCTATTTCCTAGCTTTCACTTCCACACCCAGTCAAGGCTGCGAGATATGCCCTTGATTTAACCCTCTTACCACTGTAAACCATAATGGACTCATCCTGATCTGAAGAAATGACTGTGATTTGGAGGTCTTTGTCCTTTGTTTAAGATGTCTTCCGAAAACTTTCTGATAAAGAAAAGTTACAGCTCATCCACTGTAGTTCTTGTCTGTTTAGTTTTCCGTCTTGTAGATCGATGTGGCATTTCGCAAATTCAAAGGACTTAGCTGAACAAGACCAAGCAACTAGATAACCTCCTGGACTAGTGTGCACTCAAAATTCCAAAGAGGGTGCTGTAATTTGTTATTACAAATGTGTATTGAGTTGATTTGAAATGAAGTTGTCAGTGGAATTTCATTATTATAGTCTCCAACAAAGATCTGCAATCATTAACTTTGTTGACAGGAACTTGAGATAAGCCAATAATAAAAAAAACAAAAACAGTCAGGATCCTGATCAGCCTCTATAGAGGTTCCATCAGTATCTATTATCATTAAGTTTGTTCCCATTGGCTAATCTCCAGTGCCTGTGGTTTGTCCTAGTAAATTATTCATAAGTGAGTCATCATATATGGTTTTCTTCATGTGAAGCCATGACTTTATAAAATGTTGTGCTCATCCTTCTTTGACAGCTTTACCGTAGCGAGAGTTTATCCAGCCGTCTCTAGGATTTCTGTCACTGCTGAATCTTGCGTCGATTGGAATCTTTCTAGTTTCTAAATGCCCATGTAAGCTCAAACTGAGACTCGTTATCTGTTCAATGTCTGTCCATCTGTTTGTCAACTATTTCCATTGCAAGACTACTCCCTCTGAACGGTTAATAAGACTTTCACCAAATCTGGTCTGAAGCATCACTGAGCACAGAAGACTCAATGTTGTACGAGTACTATTAACTCATTCACCCCTGAAGACACATTTGAA